ATAAAATCTGTAGGTATGGATTTAAAAATGAGTAAGTTCAAACTTTACCCACTAAAATCATGTTACTGCTGTGTGCCTTCAAGACACAAGATACTTGTTTACCTGTAGCGGTAGATAAAAAATCTGATTTGTTCCTTGTTCTTTTTGGGTGGGTCAACACAATGATTTTATCTTTAAATCACAGTTTTCCCTCCCCAATTTTTTTCACCTTTACGACCATTCTGTTATTTCCTCTTTTCTTTCATTGAAGTGGGGAGGACATTGTGATGAATCAAAATGTGCTCATGAGCTGAAGGTTTTTCCAAAATGAGATAATCACACCTTTCTTTGAGTAAACCAACAGCTCTTACCTATCATGCTAGGAATGTAAGAAGTATCAGTGACCCCCAGTAAACATTCCAAGCATCTTACCAAATTGACAGAATGGACATAGACTTTATTAGCCGAAAAGAGCTACAATATGAATCATTAGAGATTCTCGTGTGCATGCACTCTGCCCTCCATATTTGCAAATCTGACTTTTGTAGATTTCATTATTCACACATTTGATTAAAATGTTCTCTCAAATAAACCTGTAGGCCCCTTCTGACAATAATGTAGTAGATTTGGAAATGCTGGTTAAATTTTATTTACATTTTAAAATAATTCTAACGTAGTTTGTAATTCTAACATAGTTTGTACTGTTAAGAAATTATGATTAGGAAGTTATTATGACCTCACAACCTCTGAGGATGCCTGCCATAGATGCAGGTGAAACGTCAGGAGAGAATGCTTCTAGAACATGGCCATGCAACCCAAAAAACCTACAACAACCAATTTTTAAATAGTTCTCTAGGCTACTGTTCTAGGAGCTTCTATAGCAATACTTCTAGGAATAGAGCCAGTATTAACATACTGAATAATAACTTCCTAACAGTACAAACTATGGTAGAATTACATTATCTCATGCTGCCTGGTAGACAATATGTATTGTTGAAGGCTTTCATGGCCAGAATCACTAGGTTGTTGTCAGTTTTTTAGGCTATATGGCTATGTTCCAGAAGCATTCTCTCCTGACGTTTCGCCTGCATCTATGGCAGAGGTTGTGAGGTCTGTTGGAAACTAGGAAAATTGGGTTTATATATCTGTGGAATGTCCAAGGTGGGAGAAAGAACTCTTGTCTGTTGGAGTTAGGTGTCAATGTTTCAGTTGGCCACAAAAGATTCCCCCAGGCAGTAACAAGCCACACCAAAAAACTGCTATTAAGGTGGCCAACTGAAACATTCATGCCTGCCTCAAACAGACAAGAGTTCTTTCTCTCACCCTGGACATTCCACAGATACATAAATCCCATTTTCCTAGTTTCCAACAGACCTCAAAACCTCTGAGGATGCTTGCCATAAATGCAGGCGAAACATCAGGAGAGAATGCTTCTAGAACATGGCCATATAGCCTGAAAAAACCTACAAAATCCCAATATCCAATGTCATAAAACACCATATGTAAATTGGACAGAATGTGATTAAACAAATCCTAATGATCATTTTGGGCAGAAAAACAGAAACTCCTACAAAATGGATATTACCATAAAGAACTATACTGCACATAGTTCAGATAATCGTTGCAGATAAAGTTGTAACAGAATTTAAATGTATCATATAAATGTGGAGGATACATTCCTGGATTTTGTGTGGATATGTGAAAGTGCAAATAATCGCAAACACTATTATTTTCAGACAGACAAACTACAGAGATACTGAAAAGAACGTATAGCCTGTAATAAATAAGTGATGCTGCAGACATGAGAAACCATGTTCATGTTCCAAAGATAAATGGATTGTACTATGAAAGCACTTTTTTAATATATTGGATTGTGTTTCTATCTTACAGATGATGCTGTTAAACATAATTCAGAGAGGGATGAATGAGACATGCTTTATAAGGAGTTCCTTATGGAGCTGTTTATCTTTAACTGGGGTCGCCTTGTTTAAATATTTGAAAAGATTGTCATATTGAAGTTGGAACAAGCTTGGATTTGTTTTGTTTTGGGGTTTATTTTTGGGTTTTTTGGTTTTGTTTTTGCTGCTCCAGATACTAGGATATGGATCATGGGATTCAAAATTGTTGCTATTTATTCGTTGAGTCGCTTCCCACTCCTCATGACCTCATGGACCAGGCCACGCCAGAGCTCCCTTTCGGCCGTCACCACCCCCAGGTCCTTCAGAGTCAAGCTCGTCACTTCAAGGATACCATCCATCCATCTTGCCCTTGGTCGGCCCCTCTTCCTTTTTCCTTCCATTTTACCCAGCATCATTACCATCTCCAAGCTTTCCTGTCTTCTCATGATGTGGCCAAAGTACGTCATCTTTGCCTCTAATATCCTTCCCTCCAATGAGCAGTTGGGCTTTATTTCCTGTATTCAAAATACAGGACAATATATTCTTCCTAAACATGAGCAAGAACTTCCTGGTGGTGGAAATTGTGAAATTATGGAATAGGCTGGCTCAGAGTGTGATGAAGTCTCCTTTCTTTAGAAGTTTTTAAGCAGAGGCAGGATGGCCATCTGTCAGGAGTACTCGGACTATGCATTCCTACATGGCTAAATAAGATTGGACTTTACCTTATGGAATCTCTTCCAACTCTTTGATTCTAAGATTAGAATATATATTTCCCTGGTGGTGGCAGCTGTTCTCTGTGTTGAATATATGTTGATGCATGCGCTCTTTCTCTCTTTCTCACACACACATTTCAAGAGGGGATTTATTATTTGATTTTCCTGTTAGTCCTATGAGATTTTGAGTTGTAGAAGAGGCAGAGATTATTAGATATTAAGATGAAACCTCACTGGAATAAAACATGCTAAGGAAACCCCATGCTTTAGGGCAGTGGCTCCCAACCAATGGGAACTACCAGTGATCCACAGGGACTAAAATATGGTCCCCGGCCTCACTGTTACTACACCATTGCAACTCTCTTATAGTGTGGATGTTTATTAAATATGGCTTTCTGTGGGCAAGCAGATGGCAACTACTGGATGGCATATTTTCTGTATCAGAAACTAGAGCTGATGTGGTCTATCCAATGCAATTTTCTGAATCAGCACCCCAAGTAACAGCACCGAATGTAAAGTTGACCAAAAACTGATTCGTAACCCTTTTGGTCCTAATGTTGGTCCCTGGCCAAGTGGTCCCTCGTCAGAAAAGGTTGGGAACAACTGTTGGCCATGTATAAATATGTGAGAGGAAGCAAGCTTATTTTCTGCTTCCCTGGAGACTAGGACGTGAAACAATAGCTTCAAACTACAAGAAAGGAGATTCCATCTGAACATGAGGAAGAACTTCCTGACTGTGAGAGCCGTTCAGCAGTGGAACTCTCTGCCCCGGAGTGTGGTGGAGGCTCCTTCTTTGGAAGCTTTTAAACAGAGGCTGGATGTCCATCTGTTAGGGGTGATTTGAATGCAATACTCCTGCTTCTTGGCAGAATGGGGTTGGACTGGATGGCCCAACTCTTTGATTCTATGATTCTATAAGTACACTGGTCAAAATGTGTTGTGGAGGCAAGGAATCTGCATTCAGAAGCCTATAAGGAGCAAAGGAAGATAAATGGGAAGTGTGGCTTCAAATATGCAAAGGGTTATGTCACACAGAAGATGAAACTGACTTGTTCTCTATTGTTTCTCAGTGAAAAAAGGAATTTGGGAAATACAAGAGGGAAGCTGATCTTTATCACATTCCCTGCTTCGGAGTTTCTCTTAATGTTGAATTTGGTTGACCATCAAGGCAAAGAGAACCTGGACAAAGTATACCTCGTCATGGCTCATTTCATACCTTCTTCTATTTATTTTTCCATTCGAATGTGCCCATGTTATAGCCATATTGTCATTATGATGGTCCATACTTTAAAAAGATCAAAACTCTCAACAATTCACTTGAAGGATTTAGTCCAGTTTGAAAAAGACATAAAAGGAATCAAGCAGGTAGTTAAGTTTAGTTTCTTTTATTTTCTCAAAATCTATTGCTTGGTCTCTTTCCGGCATCAATGTAAACAAAAATGTTTGCAATTCTTCTTTTTTTTAACTGCCCTGTGGCAAGCAGAGCATACATTATAATAAATATACATATACATAAATAAATAAATAATATTCTAAAATATATATCATAACATACTTTTTAGAAACCCTTCATTTGAGGGGAATATGTAAAGCAACATAGTCCAAAAGTAGCATTTAAATTCCTGGAACATCCCAGGCATTCTGGCATCAGATGGCATTTAATATGACATCATCCAGCAGAGAAACATCTTTGTATGATTCAGTGCAGAATAGCAGTTTGTATGTAGAACTGCCCCACAGCCTGCCATTCAATACTCCCAGGACTTATAGTACAGCCACATCAACCCCAAACCATTCTTGCCTGGGGGAGATTGAAAGGCGTCTGGCTGTGTCCCCATTGCCAGACGCAGAACAATTACATCATCCACTGAGATCTAATTTTGCATTTGGTTACAAGGACATAGCCAGACAGTTCTCCATTTCCCATATAGTGGCTTGATGGTAAGTCCAGGAGGGGATTTTTGTCCTTGCAGAGGGATCAAGGGAATACCAAACTCTACAATGTTTAGGGGACAGTTATTCAGGCTTAACTTCATTGTCTTCCACTGGAGGATGCCATTAACAAGATGCCAGCCATTACATTGACATAGTCAAATCATCAGAAGCAGATATACATAGTATATATACAAATAATCTGAGGAAGGTTCCTGAAAGCTGGATCCAAAGTAGCCCAATTCCTATGAAAGGCAGCTAAAGAAATTCCACAGAGATCGCAGTTTGATTTTTGGCCACTATAATGGAGCCACAATTAAATCCTTGCACATAAATAAATACACATTGCATGTGTACATAACATATTATTGTGTGTGTGGTTGTTTTTCTTTCTCCCCAGCCTCCCCCCCCCACCCCAGAACTTGAAAACGTTACCTTTGGAACTAGGTTGAACTTTTCCAACCTTTGTATCTTTGCAGCCAGCCAGCTGACAAATTAAGTGAACATTCATTATAGTCTCAGCATCTCAATAATATTATCACTGAACACATAAATAAATAGATATAAATAAGGTATTGATCAAGAATAATTCAGCCTGAAATAATACTAGGTTATCTCTCATCCACTCTAAAATCCCATACTTCTTGTGTCAGTTCACAGTTTTGACCCAATGAGGCAGCATTTGGAGAGTGGGCACAAAAAAGGAAAGTAATGGGACCAGGTAAGAGGGGGAAAACCCGGAATGACTCCAGAGAGGGCACTCAGTGCAAGAATTTCCTTACATGGCAATGACCCCAAAGTAGATTTGTCCTTGTCGATCTAGGTCCAGATACTCCACAGCATTTGTTTTGGACCACAGGCGATCTCCTTTGTGCAGCTTGAAGACAGCCCCCTGATAAATGGATTCGAACCACATCTTGCCCTGGTGTGGGGGATCCCTCCCGTGTTCACAGGCGGTCTTCAGGGATTTCAGCAGGTCCACCTTTGTGTTGAACTGGGCAGAATGCCACGTGATCTCATGTGTGAGCAGCACGGGCTCCGCAGAGGTGCAGCTAGCTTTGTGGAAGAGGAGTTGAGAGTAGACAAAATACAGTCCCGTAGAGGGCACCACCAAGGCATTCTCTGCCTTGTCCAGCTTCATGCCATTCTCCAACACTGAGGGTGCCACGTCGGTGGTCCAGATCAGTTGATTAGGATGGTACAAGGAAGCTGTAAAGGTAGAAAGAGAGAAAAAATCCAGTGAGATCCAAGAAGATAGGCTTTGTTGGCACATAGTTTTGCCACTCCTCCACAAAGGCTTCAGCATACATACTAAAGCTTGATCTCAGGCCACCATTTTGGCTTTATGGCTTCACCTTGAAACATTACAGCTCCATGTAATTGAAAGGATCAATTACTTTAAGGGATGGCTCTTCATCTCAAAATATTCCCCATCACCATGTATCTCCTCACAACCTTCCCCTATCCTTTTCTTCGACTCTGTCTGAGGATCTTTGAGTGTGATTTTCCTGCTTCCTGGACTGGATGGCCCACGAGGTCTATTCCAAACTCTATGATGATTCTATGATTCTACAGTTCCCATCACCTCCCAAATAGTACAATCAAAGCCTGGCATATGTAATGATGGGCCAATGCATGTGGCAAACATCAGATTGGAGAAGGTTGTGCTGTACATTGATCTAGTCATAAGAAGGTACAAAGTTTGAAAGCGATCTCAACAAACTAGTTTCAAAGATGTCTACTCACCGATGGCATGGGCAGCTGGTTTCCCAGACACCAGGGCTTGCAGTTTCATTGTTTCTGGTAGAATGTCTTCTGCAAAGATTGTAAAAAGACAAACAGTCAGGGAACATCTTCACAACCTCTTCTCTTTAAAGGATTACCCTCATAAAGGTCTAAATTAATTTGAATACGGGAAACTTTGCAAGTGGGTAGACAATCAATATCTTAACCAGTTACAGAAATCCTACTGCATTTTGTTCCTTAAATTAAAACCCTAATTTCACTTCTCTTTGTAACAATACAGAAATTTTGTTTTGTACTAGAATGCCTTTCTGGCTGGGACATTTTGGAATCTGGTCCAAAGAAGTAGTTTATGTGTTCTGAGAAAGGATTTAAGCTACATTATGAATAGATTGTCCCCCTGGTGATGCAGCGCTTTAAACCGCTGAGCTGCTGAACTTGCTGACCGAAAGGTCAGCAATTCAAATTCGGGAAGTGGAGTGAGTTCCTGCTGTTAGGCCCAGCTTCTGCCAACCTCGCAGTTTGAAAACATGTAAATATGAGTAGATAAATAGGTATCACTTTTGCGGGAAGATAACGGCGCTCCATGCAGTCATACTGCCCACATAACCTTGAAGGTGTCTACGGACAAAGTCAGCTCTTCTGCTTAGAAATGGAGATGAACACCCCCCCCCCCCGAGTCAGTCACAACTAGACTTAATGTCAAGGAAACCTTTACTTTTTACCTATGGATAGATTGCTGGATGTTTACCGATGTCACTGGCAATGTTAAACTCTGTCTAATGGTAGAGCTGGCTCTCCTAACACAGGACTTCTATATTCTTTCACTTGCTCTTGCTTATGACTCATCTACCCTCTTTTTAAGAGAGATCAGATTTTCTCCTATCTCTGGAGAAGCTGGGCTTCGGAGTTTCTCCTAACGTTGAATTTGGTTGGCCATCAAGGCAAAGAGAACCTGGACAAAGTATACATCGTCATGGCTCATTTCACACTTTCTTCTACATATTTTTTCATTTAAATGTGTCCATGCCATGGCCATATTGTCATTATTATGGTCCATGCTTTTTCTAACATTTACTGAACCATCTGAACAAAATCGACTCTGATCGTGTAAGCATATTCCCAGGAAAATGTTACCATAGGATTGTGGCCAGTGCCTTAAATCTTGCAGAGGGCCTATTATTGTCTGATCTCATTGATTTAAGCCTGAGTTGTTACAACCCTTTAAATAGAGTTCAGTAGAGTTTAAGGGCCCTTCCACACAGACATATAACCCAGAATATCAAGGGAGAAAATCCCATAATATCTGCTTTGAACTGGGCTATCTGAGTCCACACTGCCATATATTCCAGTTAAAAGTGGATATTCTGAGATTTTATTCAGCTGTGTGAAAGGGACCTAAGAAACTTCAAACATTGCCTAGATCTGGCCATTTTTTTCTATTGTTGGGAGTACACGTGGATTAAAAAAATCCTTTGTTTGTAGAAAGGGGAATGAACCATAGAGGGAATTGAGAAAGAAACTTACCAGCAAATGACTTTCCATTTCCCTGAGAGTCCTGAAAATGCAAAGGAGAAGTGAGGTCAACATCATTTTAATTATTATTAATAGAAGTCATCACCACACCCATAGTGCTTACAGTGAGTTGATGTATAAGTGTCTAATAAGATAGTTTTTTGTATGTCAGATTAACAAAAAGATATATTAAAAAATCTGATCACCACTGAATTGCAATAATCCCTCAATGACCACAGGTGGGTAAAATTTTGTATGCCAATGGCTACAACAATTGATCAAACATTTAAAAGTTACGTATCTGGTCTCTCTGACATTGTGTACCCTCGGTCTTAAACAGAACCCTTTTCTTATCTATCTCCGTTTTGGAGCCCAAGTAAAGTGCAAACAGGACCAAAAGTATCTATATCTATATCTATATATATCTCGGCTCCATTGGTGCACTAAAACCACTTCTTAAACTTTTCCCATTTCAACCCCTAATTTTTTTTAAATGGCCCCAGGTATGTAAATATATTAGATATAAAACCCAAACATTTATTGAAATCAGCATTTGCAAGGCTTGCTAAACAGGCCGATTTTCCTCTTTTATGAAGTACAGTTTCTTCTGCAATATCAGAAGTACAGCAAATTCATGTACGTATTGAAAACAGTGGCTAAGTGATATTTACAAAAGTTTTACTCTGGCCAAATGTTTGGGATCCTAACATTGAGGTAAGGTAACCACAATTGGGGTCAGGACCCCCAGTTTAAGAAGCAATGCTCTAGAGGGGAAATTTGTTTAGTGCTTTGAGAGTTGGACCAGGACCCTGGAGAGCGGGATCTGAAGCCCTGCTTGGCTTCGGTAACCCACTGAGTGACCCTATGAAAAGGCTTCATGTTTGCACAATTCCAAGACTTGCAGTCTAAAAAGGGAACCTTTCCAAGCACATCTCCCTCTTTTACTCCTGGATGGAGCTTATGGTGACGTGTAGGACTTCTATTTCCAGAGATCTAGCTTTGAGAAAGGCTTGGGCTCTTGAAATAGACTGTTACGAATTGTGGGAGTTGAAGTCTGAAACACCTGGAGGGCCCAAGTTTGCCCACACCTGTTTTAGAACATGCATTGCTGGATGGGGGATTCTGGGGCTTGTGATCCAAAAAAGGGCCCTCTCCAAGACCATCTCTCTCTCTCTCTCATATATATACATATACATATACATATACATATACATATACATATACATATACATATACATATACATACATACATACATACTACATCCCTCTCCCTGTCTGCCCCATTACCTTTTGCCCAAAGAGGGTCCCGTACTGGAGGAAGGCGAAGAGCCCGGTGGCCAAGACCAGGAGCAGGAAGGCGGTGATGCTGAGGCACTTCCAAGGCCCCCCTTGGCTTTTGGGGGATGACAAGGGCCGGTCCTGAGCCTCATTCCCCGCTGGAAGGACCCCTTTCTCCGGATCCTGGACCAGATGCTCCAAGCTCATGACTGAAGGAGGAGAGGTAAGCTGAAAACAAGGAGAGGAGGAAGCAGCCCAACAATTGAGGTCCTTGTCAAGGAAATGGGTCCAAGCAGAAGACTGTGGTGTTTCTAGTGCTGCTGCTGCCGGCTTTGTGAAGGCCTCGTGTGCCTGGTCTGCCTCTGCAAGCCCTTTGTTCCCTTGGGATCTTCTTGTCTTTCTCTTTTCTGGCTGACTGCTGAGGCAAGGTGGCAGGAGCGCCTTTATCAACCCTCTTCTGACGCCCACGGAGCCTCTCTGCACCGCCCCATCATCAGAGAAGGAAGGAAAGAAGCTGTCACAGAAAGAGGAACCTGGGCAGGAAGGAAGAGCATCTCTCTGCTCCTGGGGCCTCCCCAAAAGGAAAGCTTCAGAAAAACGATTTTTTCCTAGGATTGCTGCCTCCAGTCTCACAGAAGAAGCTTCCCCACTAGTTTGGGTTATTTGCCATCAAATCAATTGTGACTTACAACAACACTGTAAAGGCGAGAGCAAACATCCTGATCAGATATTGCAAATTCAGAGCCATAGTTTTCTTGATGGACACAATCCATCTGTAGCACTGTCTCCTTCTTTTCCTACTACCTTTTAAAATTAATTTTAAAACATACAGAAAGTTTTTTAAAACACACACACACACACAGACAATACAGGGGTCGCCAAAGACCACCAGAAACACAATATTTTCTGTTGGGCACAGAGGTTCTGTTTGGGAAATTTGGCCCAATTTTATCATTGGTGAGGTTCAGAATGCTCTTTGATTGTAGGTGACCTATGAATCCCAGTAACTACAACTCCCAAATGTCAAGGTTTATTTTCCCAAACTTCACCAGTGTTCAAATTTGGGCATATTGAGTATTCATCCATCATTGAATCCACAGTGCTCTCTGGATGTAGGTGAACTACAACACCAGAACTCAAAGTCAATGCCCAGCAAACCCTTCCAGTATTTTCTGTTGGTCATGGGAGTTCTGTGTGCCAAGTTTGGTTCAATTCCATTGTTGGTGGAGTTCAGAATGCCTTTGATTGTAGGTGAACTATAAATCCCAGCAACAACAACTCCCAAATGACAAAAATCAACCCCCCAACCCCACCAGTATTCAAATTTGAGAGCATTGGGTATTTGTGCCAAATTTGGTCGAGTGAATGAAAATACATCCTGCATATCAGATATTAACATTATGATTCATAACAGTAGCAAAATTATTGTTATGAAGTAGCAACGAAAATAATGTTATGGCTGGAAGTCACCAAAACCCGAGGAACTGAAATAACATTCAGTTGCCTATTATAAGTTGTCAGGGAAGGCCTGGCTCCACAAAAAAGGTCTTAATTTGTGAACAAAAGGCCAAAAAGGAGGAGGCTGATTGCACTTGTCTAGGAAGGGAGAACACAATTATATTTAAGGTAATCATCACTCTAACATAAAATAAGCCAACACTAATAAATTCATTCTAAACATAGAGCTGCAGGCAGTCCTCAAGTTGTGAACAAGATAGGTTCTGTAGGTTAATTCATAAGTTGAATGTGTATGAAAGTTGGAACAGGTACGTTTTTAAGTGCCACTCCAGCCAAATATCTTCTGAAGACAGACACAGACAGCAAAACAAACAGGGGTGTTAATCCTTCCCTGTGCTGAGGGAGGGAGGGAGGGAGATGCACTTAAAATGTAACTGTTCCAATTTACACACACTCACACACATATATGAGCTTTGGATAACATAAGAAAGGATTAACATTCCTGTGGTGTTTGTTTTCCTGTCTGTGCCCTTCTTCACTTTCTGTCCCTGCGTCAATTGGATTGTTGTGGAAATAAGGATGTGAGAGCTGGACCATAAGGAAGGCTGAGCAAAGGAAGATAGATGCTTTTGAACTGTGGTGTTGGAGGAAAGTTCTGAGAGTGCCTTGGACTTGAGAAGATCCAACCAGTCCATACTTCAGGAAATAAAGCCCAACTGCTCATTGGAGGGAAGGATAGTAGGGGCAAAGATGAAGTACTTTGGCCATGTCATGAGAGACAGGAAAGCTTAGAGAAGACAATGATGCTGGGGAAAATGGAAGGAAAAAGGAAGAGGGGGCGACCAAGGGCAAGATAGATGGGTGGCATCCTTGAAGTGACTGGCCTGGCCTTGAAGGAGCTGGGGGTGGTGAAGGCAAACAGGGAGCTCTGGCATGGGCTGGTCCATGAGGTCACAAAGAGTCGGAAGCAACTGAACAAATAAACAACAACAAATAACTCTTTCAGGAGTGAATTTCCCTTCCAAGGGGTAGATTTCTCTCCCCAAGGGATCCCGACCCCCAGGTTGAGAATCACTGTTCTAGAACATGGCCATACAACCCAAAAAAAAAACTACAACAACCCAATGAGAGATCAGTTCATCCAGATCTTAGCTGAATGTTTTTTATTTATCGTATCAGGAGCGAACCAAGGGTATAGTTGTATTTAAACTTGGCATTATAGTAAATGTCCTTTGACCAGTAGCTGTCCACTGGTGTTGCTATATGAAGGTCCTCCATTGTGCATATGGCAGGGCTCAGACTGCATTGTAGTAGGTGGTCTGTGATTTGCTCTTCTCCACACTCGCATGTCATGGACTCCACTTTGTGGCCCCATTTCTTAAGGTTGGCTCTGTATCTCATGGTGCCAAAGTGCAGTCTGTTCAGCACCTTCCAAGTCACCCAGCCTTCTGTGTGCCCAGGGGAGAGAGTATTTCATTAGGTATCAGCCATGGCTTGAGGTTCCGAGATTTAGCCTGCCACTTTTGAACTCTTGCTTGCTGGATTGTTCCTGCAAGTATTTCTGTAGATCTTGGAAAACTATTTTTTTATTTAAGACATTGCTGTGCTGGCTGATATCCAAACAGGGGATGGGCCGGAGATGTCACTGCTTTTGTCCTTTTATTATTGGCTGCTACTTCCCGGCAAATGTCAGGTGGTGCAATGACGGCTAAATAGCATAATTTCTCCAGTGGTGAAGGACATAGACATCCTGTGATAATGCGGCATGCCTCATTAAGAGCCACATCCACTGTTTTAGCATGGTGAGATGTTTTCCACACTGGGCGTGCGTACTCAGCAGCAGAGTAGCAAAGCGCAAGGGCAGATGTATCTGTTTGTAATCCCCAGGTTGTGCCAGTCAGCTTTCGTATGATATTGTTTCTAGTACCCACTTTTTGCTTGATATTTAGGCAGTGCTTCTTCTAGGTCAGAGGTCAGAGCATGGTCCAAGGTAACTCCCAAGTATTTGGGTGTGCTGCGATGCTCCAATGGAATTCCTTCCCACATAATCATCAGAGCTCAAGATACTTGTCTGTTCTTAAGGTAAAAAGCACATGTCTGCATTTTAGATAGATTAGGAATCAGCTGGTTTTCCCTGTAATAGGCAGTAAGTGCACCTAAAGCTTCGGAGAGCTTCTGTTCAACCATTTCAAATCTCCCTGCTTGGGGGGTGATGGCACGATCATCAGCATAGATGAAACTCTCTGTCCCTTCTGGCCATTGTATTAGAAACTGTGTCCTCAACTACTCTTTCATCTTTAGGTACTGCTCCGGCAGGAAGGTAATAGTGCTCCATGCAGTCATGCCAGCCACATGACCTTGCATGTGTCTATGGACAACGCTGGCTCTTTGGTTAGAAATCAAGATGAGCACCACCCCACAGAATTGGGCACGACTAGACTTAATATCAGGGGAAAGCCTTTACCCTTACCTTTATTTTATCTAAGTCTGAAGTGACTTGAAGGCACACAACAACAGCATCAATCCTAATTAACTTGACTCTCGCATTAGGCTCACACTTCCCATTGGTAAGTTTATGTTGGTTAAAACTGTTCCTCACTTTAAATATTGCATTGTTGTTACATATTTTTTGCACTACAAATAAGATATGTACAGTGTGCAACTGTGCATAGGAATTAGTTCATGTTTTTTTCCAAACTATAGTCAGGTCTCCCAATTGTCTTAAGTACCGTGACCTGGCCTTCTTAAAATGTTTGAGGACCCCTGTTGCAGTGTGTCCTCAGGCCATTTCCAACTTGTGGCAACTCTAAGGAAACACTCTTGGTGGTTTCTTGGCAATGCATGTTTAGACAGGGTTTGGCTTCACTTTCCTTGGAGATGGATAAGATGTGACTTGCCCAAGGTTACCAGGTGGGTTTCCAAGGCTGAATGGGGATTTTAACCCTGATCTCCAGAATTGTGCCCAATGTTCAAATCACTACATTATCCTACTTCCTGTGGCTTTTTGTTTACACAATCTTATAGTCGTCCATTTAAGTGTGTGTCCATACCAGCAACTTTTTTCATTATTATGGCCCATGCCTTAAAACAAAGAACAACCTGAACAAAATAATTTTTGTATCATGTCAGAGGCAAATTGAGAATATACTGCAAGTTGCTTCTGGTGTGAGAGAATTTGCCATCTACAGAGACGCTGCCCAGGGCATGCCCAGATGTGTTACCATCCTGTGGGAGGCTTCTCTCATGTCTCCACATGGAAGCTGGGGCTGACAGACAGGAGCTCACCCCGGTGTCACAGATTCAAAGCACCAACCTACAGATCTTCAGGTCAGCAGTTCAGCCGGCACAAGGGTTTAACCCATTGTGCCACTGCGGCTCCTTACAAAACTGTCAGGATTAATTTAGGTATGTATGTATTTTAAATGTGCTTCTATGTATTTCCAAGATGGATTCCACTGTGTATTAGAAATGCTGTGCAGAATGTTCATACCATGAGGCTGTGATTATGTAACCTTGAGAAAAGTAAGATAAGGTTTGCTCTTGCTGGGAACAGAAGGGAGTAACCAGTCTCAGCAAGAAGAGAAGAGATAAGCAGATGTGAAGAGACTTTCGTTTTGACTAGTTCCTGAATTGTAGCTCGCTGTAGTAAGACGTGTCTATTGAGTGTGCTTAGTAAACTTAGTTTCTTTTGTAACTCAAAGCCTGCAGAGTCCTTATTTTGCAAAACAGTGTCTGCTGATCTAGCAATCCTTCTGCTGTGCACCGCCAAACTCTGACAGTTCAATTATGGGCCCAGTCCCTAACCCAACAGAACCAAGGAATTGCTATTGATCCAGATCAATTCACTCTGAAGGACACCATCCAGTTTTAAAATGACACAAAGGAATGAAGTAACCATCCAGTTTTATTATTTTGCAAGATTTATTGCTTGGTCTTCAAAAATTCCTTCAAGTACAGATGCAAACAACATTTGCAATCCTT